TGGTTATGATGTGAATAAGAAAATTTATTGATTTTCAAATTAAATTGTGAGGAAAAAGTTAGAGTAGAATAATCTGATGATAGATTTGATATACGAATGTATTCTTATTCGAATTGCGTGTGCAAATGTTTAACCTTTAAAAACTTTTATTGTTTTTAAAGTTAGATACTAGTGATGGATATTTGATTTATAAGTTAGATAAATTATATTCTTCAACTTGTGAAGAGCACCAATTAAAATATGGGAGTCATGAGGACATTGAAAAGGAATATAGTCAACTTATAAATTAATAATAAAGTTTTCTACAAAGATACATGCATTACAAAAAGATAAAATTTGAGCATAATTTAGAAACGAAAGCGATATAAATTTGATTTATTGGAGAATGATAGAGATTTTATTTAACTTAAAGTTAGCCCAGCTAGGCCAAGGAAATTCCATTTTTTTCAGGCAAGACTCGAGAGTATAATTATCTCTACTTATATGATATTGTATATAACTCACAAAAATATTAGGGATTATCAAAACCTTAAATAATCAATCAATCCATCTATTTTTTTTTCTTGTCAACATATTATTTTATTGAGTTAGATTGAATATGAAAAAAATATCATAAAATTAATTTCTCATCAAATGAATTGGTCTTTAATTTTTGTCTTTCAAACAGACTGATTTTTAATTTTTGTCCTTTAACAATCGAACTTATGCATGTTAGAGCATCATAAGTTCTTTTAAAACTGAAGTTATGCATGCGCATAATTTGTAGAATATTACAATACAAAATGATAAATTTAAATGCTATAAAAAGATCAATATTACACGAGGGATGCAAAATTAAAAACCAACACTAAATAAGGATTGGAACTGCAAATGACATCTAAAATAATTTGATTACCAATGTACTTTAGTAGTCTAGTTTCCTTTTTTATAAAAAATTATAGCTACTTCTACAGAATCCAAAAATTATAATTGCTTCGGTAAAATTAAAGAAGCCGCATAAGACATCGAGAGATCAAAATTTCTTTATTATAAGCCATCTAGAAGTAAAGTAAACTCAAAATTACGAAGGAAAATACTTATTCAAACTTATTATTTATATCAATATCAAATTGATGAATATAGGTAGATATATCACCCTCACAAACTTTTATCAGTAACTCCTAAATATATAAAACAAAACAATGTTAAGCCAAAGTTTATAGCAATTAAGTTAATTAGAATATAGGAAAAGCTAGGGAACATTGACATGTGCTAACCCAAATAATTGGGTTTGTATATTAACGTTTCCTTCACTGGAATTTTCTGTGCTCCATTCTCAGTTGTTTCATTTACAAGTATCTGTTTTCTTATTTCTTTTTTTTAAAAAAAAAAAAAGAATTAATGCACTCATGATGAGATAAATGCTCACAACTAATAAGAGCTGTTACCACATGGCTTTTCTCATAAAAGAAATTAATTCACCGACGCTGTGCATTAAAAAGTTATATTTGCTTAACATTTAACAAGTTACACATGTGATAGAAAATAATATTGTTATTTGTTACTGTCATCGAGTATGAAACAAGTGATCTCAAGTTCAAACATTGAAATGGAAAATTTTATAATAAAATAATCAAGTTTTTTTTTATAAATCTAACATTACTCAAATCATTAAATTTCAAATATCAAAATAATAATATAATTTGACTCCAAACGAGATCGTTCGGATATAAAGATATGATCAATAGACTACTTCATAGCCTTTCAGGTGGTGTTTTGGGTGGGACAATTAAATAGCATTTAGATGAACTAAAAAGGCAAATAAAAGAGATTAGAATATGATTTTTTGTGAATGAAATGGATGTCATTATCACATAATGGAATAATTCGCCGCACAAAGTCATATATTGATAATTCTTGGGAAGGAAATGAGGTAGGCCATTTTCTTGTAGGCTGTTAGGAGGAACTTGTTCCAAAGTTCCAACATGTATTACGCAACACTACATGTGCCTGTTTGGTTTGAATCTCCTGATAATGACTGCAACTATGATGTGACACTATTTTACGTCTAGGGTTGAATATTTGGAGCCTGTGTCATACTCAAAAACTGTAACCTAACTTAATCCCTAAATCTAACAGAGCAATGTCAAATCTAGGATTTCTAAAATAAGTACATCATTTAATCTTTTTATAGCATAGGTGTCAGCATAATAATATCATGCCAGTTTTTTTAGAAAATATACACGAAAAATACTTAGTTATATGAGAAGAACACGGCCCCCAATGTTTGCTTATAAATTTACCTCCAGAGCGAAAAGTTGATCAAGTTCATATAAAAAGATCACCTGTTTCATTAACAGAGTATGATTGTTTCATTTTTCAACAACTACTACTGCATTGTATTTCTCTGTTAGGAAACTCCTAAATGCCGTATGTATTTGAACAAACAAAAGAGGATTGAAGCATTCCTAAATGCCGTATGTATTTGAACAAACAAAAGAGGATTGAAGCATATAAAAGCAGAAAAAGGTTGTAGTTTCCTGTACGGCAGAAGGCTCTAGTTTGCTTGTGCAAGCTGATCAAATATATGATGTTATTGGACCAAATAGGTATTAGTGAAGTGGTGAGACTATTTCACCTTTAATCAAAGGTCTCGAGTTGAGTTATAGGTATATAACCTTTAATCAAAGGTCTCGAGTTGATTGTTGATGTCTAGATATAGAGAAAATTCTGATTAGAACGTCACCTTCGTATGAGTCGTACCGTGGGCAATCTAGAGTTAGTTCTAATATGTAGTCCTGACATCGGATCAGATGAAAAACTCAAAAAGAAAGACGATGCTATTGGGCTGTATATATGGACACTACACTAACATAAATGGGCCAGACTGTCAGACATCATCCCTTCTCACTGAAATATTTGGCCCAACGTTATTCAAATTTTGGTGTTGGGTATTGTATTTGTTATTTGTTGGTTGGACTTGATCGTATTACTTATTAGGCCAAAATTTCACATATTGCTCAAAACTTGCAGATTTCGACATTATATTTTGTTAAAGTTATGGTTTTTGCGTTTGAAATTTCTGATTGTACGAATAAGGTGGAGCCATTAGAAGCAAGTAAAGTTATTTGGAAATTGCTTTAAGGTGTTGTCTTCAAAGGCTTTGTTGGATGTAAGTTGTAAGGACCTATTTGTTTGGCTAATGTCCTCTATCACTTCTTTTTTTTTTGTTGTTGTTGTTGACAAATGGATGATGGAACCACATCCACTATTCACACATGAGTGTTCGCTCTACTCTCGTGGACTCTATCGTTAAAATATGTGAATTTTTTTTAACTTGAGACGAGATCACCTGCTTAATTAATTCAATCACCCTAGCAGCTTAAATTCATCTTAGATTAATTAAAGAGATAATTTCAATAAACTATTGTAATTTATTGTTAATATCAATTTAACAGCACTTTTTTCACCATTAATCTCTATATATTTATTAAGGACTAGGTCGAATTGAAAACAAAATTAATGCCTACTTAATTTCCTAAAGTAATAAATATTTTGGACACTATTTTCTTTCTAAAAACGACTTTTTTGAGGGAGCAATATGTTATGCTACCTAACCAAATATTCACTATTAAATGCAGGAGATATCCCCTAAAGTTTGATGTAAAAAGGCAACATGACAGTTCAAATTTATTAGAACAATAATCACGTTTTATGGGAAAATATGTAATGATTAGATGATGTTTCCCTTTGTATTAAACTTTTCATTAATTTTAATTAATCTAAGTATACAAGTGTTAATGACTACTAGTATAATATTAGAATCTTGGAACTTGTACTAAATAAAAATCTTAAATTCATGAATGATGATTCGTTTTCACTAGAGATCCAACACATGATGATGATGAGTCTATTTGTTATTTTGCTCCCATTTTCCTTTTGTCTTGAAGCTAAGGAACAAAAGAAGATTGAGTTGGACCAGATCTGAAAACACTTTCACCTAATTACACTGACTCATTCTGCTTTGTTTCACTCCCCTACCTAGATTCCTCTTTTATCTTCAAAAGTAACTTCTTCAACTCTGAATCATTCAAATTATTGCACCAAAAAAATAATTATTTAGGACAAGTGGATATACAAGAGTTCAAAAGGAATAGAAGGGTTTACTCAATATTTATGCCTTAAAATGTGTACATTGAATATTTACGTGTCGTTTGCTCGTAATTAAGGTATTCGTAGTCTTTGAAAATAACTATAACTCCCTCCGTTCACTTTTATCTATCATTTTGCACTTTTCAAAAGTTAATTTGATTAATTTTCAAAATAAATAAGATTACATTAATTCGATATTTTAAACAGAAGATTTTAGATATTCAAAAATTATATGAAAATACTATATATTGTAATTTTTTGCTGATGGGAAAATGCATCTTAAAATGTTAGTCAAACTTCTTACAGTTTGATTCTAAAAATAGAAATCATGACAAATAATAATGAACAGAGGAAGTACTGAGGCTAAAATAACAAAGAAAATAATTAATTTTGTCTTTGAACTTATAAAATGAGAAATATTTCATCGATTTGCTTTTTCTGATTTACTATTCCAACTAAGTATTTGTCGATTTTTAGTTTTCAAATAAGAATAATATGGTAAAATAATCTTGTCCATCATTATTTTCTTAATGAATAAACTCCAATAATGTCATTTAGACATCTCGAAGGAAGTGTAAAAGAATGTGAAGAATCATTCATTGGGAACTCCATATTTTGGTTTTGACTGGTCATTTGTATGCATAAAGATCTACTAACTTAAGATCTGGTGAAGAAGACTTCTCTGCTTTTTCACCATTGCATGGAAGTAAGTATTTTAACTGTGACATAATCAAGTCTACCGTGGGTTCAAAAAAAGTTGTCTTTTTGAAAAGCATTTAAAAAGGAAATGGGGTCTAACCAAGAAAGCTACTACAGTATTAATAAATAATAGAAAAATGAAAGGAAAGATAAACATTAGATAATTGAATATAAAAAGGGGTTGCTCTTTCACTCACTCTCATTCATCTTGCCATCTATTTGCCAGTTCAGATACATATTTTTTTATTATTGTATTTCATCAATGCTGCCAAGATCACCTCTGGAGGCATCTGTTACTTACAAACATTTAATATCTAGGATTCTTTCCCTATGCCAATACTCATTTCAAAAATAATTTATCCTCTTAAAAACTATACTTCTTTCTTATCCTTTTCTGATAGGCTCTTTGAGTTAGTCAATCAAGATTCATCAACTAAATGATGCAAGATTCAATCCCTGCTTGTTTTTCAGCAGGGGAAAAGCTATCAGATGATCATGCTGCAGTAACTAGGTCAGGGCAAAGCATTTTTATGTCCGTTTATCGGACGAAAATCGCTGACCAGTGCAGGTTAATCACAGTTACTTGGTGCAAGAATTTGTTGCTACATGGTTTATCAGTGTCAGTAGATGGGTCAAGTGGAGATGGACAGTATACTTGCAAGGTGGAGCTAAAGCCTTGGTACTTCTGGAGGAAACAAGGTTCAAAGCATTTTCTTGTGGACAGTAAGCCAGTTGATATATTCTGGGATCTTAAGGCTGCTAAATTTAATGGTGAGACAGAGCCAAGCTCAGAGTATTATGTAGCTGTGGTTTGTGATGAGGAAGTTATTCTACTTCTTGGTGATTTGAAGAAAGATGCTTATAGAAAGACAGGCTGCAGGCCAGCACTGATTGAGCCAATTCTTGTATCAAGAAAAGAACATGTTTTTGGCAAGAAGAAGTTTTTAACAAGAGTTAAGTTCCATGATAAGGGTAGAATGCATGAGATCTCAATTGAGTGCAAGAACAGGATTAACAGTAGCGGAATTTCTATCGATGGGGTTGATCCAGAAATGGAGATAAGGATAGATGGGAAATTGTTCATTCATGTGAAGCATTTGCAGTGGAAATTCAGAGGGAACGAATCGATTCATCTCAACAAAGTAAGGATAGAAGTATATTGGGATGTTCATGACTGGATTTTCAATCCTGGTTTAAGGCATGCTTTATTCATTTTCAAGCCAGTTTTGTTATCCACATCTCCTTCATCAGTATCCGAATTATCATCACCGCCATTCTCTTCATCGACATCAACTCCTTTATCATCCCAAACAGGAAGTTCTGGTTCAATAGAGGGGTTAAATTCAAACAGCTCCTCAGATTTTTGCCTGTTTCTTTATGCTTGGAAAGTAGAATGAGAAAAGTTACATAGAGTGAATATTGGTTTATTGTATCTATCATCATTAAAAGCATCTAAAGAAAACATAATGGTTGAAAGAGAAAAAACTGAGACTCATGTTATGGCCTTATTAGGAAGGAGATTGGGTTGACAGGTGAGAGAAAGAAAAGAGCCAGGGCACATGGGAACAATTGGGGCCAAAAATTAGCATATTGTGGCTGCAAGGTAGTTACAGCTGTTTTTGAAAAAGAAATGGGCATAATTGGACAAAAACAGATTGGATAACATAACATGCTCAATTATTTTCCCAATCTAGAGGCATCTCCATGTTTGTTTTCCCCCACAGTTTTCTTCTCTTTCTCAACTCTGGTTTTTGATAAGTGAGCAATTATTTTTGTGATACTTTTGTCTTCTAAATTCTCTCTATATATACAGAAAAATATTGAATACATTTTACTTCACTGTATTTCTGCATTTGGTGTTACTAACTGAAGTAAAATGAACTTATCTAAGGAAGAATGACAAAGCTTTTGCAAACTTTCAACTACTTAATTGCCAAGTTAGAACTAAACCAACTATATAATATTACAAAGAGTTTTGTCTTCCTTTACAAAATTTATTGTGCAATGATTTGATGATCATTAATTTATCATATTTTCTGAAAAGGGGTGGGAAGAGGTGGAGTTCTAAATGAGGAACTTTTGAAGATAAGACAAAACAAATGATAAGGGATGGGAGATTTAATACACTGGAGTTCTACCAGAAATTTATTGGCTCAGGCCAATAAAACAAGTGAAAAGATGTGCTGGAGACTTTAAGTCATAGCTTTTCCACAGTCTGGCCATAGTGCTACTACTTAAGGTTTATTGATGAGTTTGATTGATAACAGTATCATTTATGGCTAGATAGACCTTTTGACATAAGTGTCAAAAAGAATGAAATAAATGAAGGTATACAAATCTGAACATAGATGTTGAGTTGGAAGTTAGAAGTAAGGAAACAAGCTGTTATTCAAGGAAGAAAATATACTTAATCATCAAGCATTTTCATGGGAAGAAATCAGTTTACTTAAATATCTATTTTTTGATGGGAGACAAATTACAATTACTAATGAAACTCCATGTTTCAAAATGGATAATGACTTGACTAATTCATAAGTTAGAGTAAAAATATGCTCTTTTAACCAGCAATTAGCAATTTTCCACAGAGATAACATTATCTGAAATATAAAGCTAGACAAATGCCTAGGATGTTTATTCATTCCTCTGGTTGTTGTGGGATATTTGCCTACTTTACTGGTGTAAGTATCATTTATGCAGCAGTGAACTGAGCATAAGTAAGGCGGATAGTTTCATGAAGTAAGCACACTAGTTATGCAGGAATTATTATGGGATGCATAACTATGTGCTGAAAGATAATATAAAGATTGATACAAGAAAAATCTAGATTTAACTTCACTAGCTAGTATACTTGTAATTCGGAAAACAGAAGATAGTCTACATATACAAGTTTTTAAGTGTTCTTATTCTTATTTCATATTTTATCTCGTATAAAATCACATGTAGATTAGCTCTACCATAAGGATTACAAGGTCGACAGAGATTCATAGGAAAAAAAATCAACCAAATACATCCAGAAGTAAAAAAAAAAAACATTGTAGCATGTGGAAATAGCCTGGGCCAGACACAAAAAAAATCAATTAAATAAGACCAACAACCAAAAAAGCTCTCCAAACATTTTGAAAAATCCCTATTAATATTGTAAAAAAAGAATCACTTTCTATCACTTGACAGTTCTCCGACTAAATTTGAGCATTGCATGATCGAAATTACTCATATTTTTAGCAGATTTAATAACTCACTAATCACTTCCCAAAACCAAACCACTTTGCTAAGAAGAAGGTCTTGTTTTTGCCACGTGAAGCATCGGCTGATTTTGCTGGTGATGCTGGAGAAGCATGTATAGGTGTTATTGAAGGTTTACCTAGAAGAAAACAAATATAATTAGACCAATTGATCCTTGAATTGTTGACAAGTTTTATTCTTTGCACTAGCTTCTATCAGGTGTTCCAAAAGAGGAAAGTAACAACGCAAAAAATAAAACTAGTCTTTTATGTTTTGTTTTTCTTTCTATTGCAGGGAGATCAGTAGCTAAAATGGTCTCATATCCCTATCAGTACAACTTATAATCACATGGATAAGTCTCCATACCAATGCATCGGAAATAACTTATTTGATTTTGTGGGAGTAATAATGTGTTAACTTATCGGTATTGTTGATTAATATTGATAAGCAACTAGGCACATGTCTTTTATATTTTTTTGCAGAGAATGTACACACATCATAGAAACTTTCCAGGTTATGTTAAGACAAACTGATTCTACAGGAACATGATGAGAAGCTTATGGACCAACGCTAGATGATGATGATCTTTGTGCATGACAATTAATTCAACTAAAATTAACATAAAGTGCATAGAATGATAAATGAAATGAAGTACCTGCGTTTGGTGACACTCTATTTATCTTCCCATTCTTCACATCTTTAGATATCTTATCTGAACTTGGTGTATTTTCTTGAGGGGTGGAATTCCTCTCCAAGACTTGATGTGCTCTATATTTATGGGTACCTGCAATCATCAATGGTAATTCAATTGCAGGATATGCAACACAAAAGTTGAGTATTAGAAAAAATCATGTTTAGTGAAAATAAAGCTAAAATGTTCAACAGTATTTTAATTCCAAGTAGGCAAAAGAATCACCATGATTTCTCAGTGAACTTACTCTCAATGGGTGAATTTCCATAATTCTGCCTCATAACATCTACAAAACTATCATCCTTTGGATCTTGCATCACTACAAGGAAAATCATAAACTTCTATCGCAGAAAATGTTGTGATTATGTGATGATAATACTATAATAGCTGCTACGGAAAACATTACATTGGTCAAAAAAAGCATTTCTGTAGTTAGGGGTGGAGCCAAATGAAAGCAGCTGAACTGCTTCTACATCTCTTGTCATCGACACCTTAGAAGATGCACTCAAGTTTTGTGTGTCTAAAAGTATGCCTGCAAGCTGAGAAGTAGAGTGTTGGAGATCAGAAAGGGCTTCTCATCTGCTTATATTGTTAATTTGATGAATGGAGCTTATTTAGTACCAGAAGCTTTTTCAAAATAGGTGTCTGAAGTAGTTCATAAGCATCCTCACAGTAATTGTCAGTAAGAACAGTACACCCTGATATTGCCTACATGTATGACAAATGTTAGGAGAAAATGTTAGAAAGCTTCACCATATTATTGCTAGGCTATTTCTTTCCCTGATTTAACTTATATCTTTTGTTTTGGGGAGCACGCTATAAATACCTCTCCATTAGTTTTGAGTATGTCTTCGCCAACTACAAGGATGCTTAGCTGCTTAGCCAACAGTAGTGTTTCCAAATCAACCTGTTCAAAACAAAAAGAAGAAGAAAAATCAGCATTAGCTCATCAAAGGAAACAATCCCAAATGGCTCACTAGTGGTATAACTTGCAAGATCTGTTCTAACATTCTAGGGAAGATTAAATATCCTATGCATTACTACATGATGCACAATTAGATCTTTGATTGCAGTTTATAAAGGAGGAACATACTAATCTATAAATCAATGTACGAGTTGAGTCTCCTAAAAGTAATAGAAAATCTGAGATTAATGTTTCAGTTGAAGTGTTTAACTAAGTATTCTCTGATCCTGTTCACAATTCACGGGTACAATATATACCTCAATGTTAAAGCACATAACATTTGGCCACAAAGGAAACTTAGCTCCCGTTTGACCATAGATTTTGAAGTTAAAACTTGGAAAAATTGAGTTTTTGAAGTTCATTTTTGGAATTTGAAGTTGTGTTTGGACATGCATTTAACTTCAAAAAAGATGAAGTTCTGTGTGTGGAAGTTCCCAAAATTCAAAAACCGGTCTGAACTAGGTTTTGAGAACTTGAAAATATTTGAAGATCAAATTTATTTTCAAAATCTGATCAAATTTCAGCCAAACAGATTTTTGAAGATAAATCTTCAAAATCTGATCCAAATCGATGGCCAAGCGCTTGCTTAACTTCAAAGAGCCTCAAGATCTTGCTATTAGTAGCATACCTCATCGGAGAAAAGCAAAGATTTGGCATCAAGACCAACAAGATGAAAAAGCCGAGCCACTTGCCGCTGCTTCAACATTTTCCTTCTTGTAATATTCATCACAGGAACCACCACCTGAATTGTATTTGCATCTCCTCCTTGCTCATTAGCCTTCGTCCTATTTTCCAACAACCAAGCATAGCAAATTGCAGCCACCATTGAGCTTGTACCTACAATATTTCAACTCACTCAGTCATATAACCGAAACCTAAAGCAAAAACACACAATTCATCGATCTACAATTGGAAAAATATCAGCTGGAACTCAACTGTTGGAAGGTCCAGACAGCACAATTTTGGCTTTCCCTTTTATCTGTCCACTAAAAACGTTGTCGATTTTGTCTCTCTGCTCCTTCAAGAACCGATTCAGTTCCTGACTCTTCAAATCTTCCTCCTTGACTTCATCTCCGTCCACATTGTTATTTCGCAAAACCTTCTCGAACGCACTCGTAGACGCAGAGATACTCCTCCGATGAGCCAACTCTACCAAATTCCTTGGAGGAGAAAGTGCCGGATACTCCGGGATCGAACATGTCGTCGATGAAATCGACCTCCTGTGAGAAGATTCGATGAGACTTTTTGGTGGAGAAAGTGGCTTGTCATCTAAAAAGTGTGATACATTGTCCGTTGAGCCGGTGGCGGGAATTTTGGAAGTTCGTTTTGGAGAGTTGATAGAGTGTTGCTGAGGTGCATTGGAGTTCGTATGGAACCGCGTTCGGCGACTGATTGATTGGCGGGGCGGGAGGTTGAGTGCGGGTTGCTCATTGTTGGGCTTGGGAGAAGTGGGCCCATCATTTGGAGTCTTGAAGATGTGAGAGAACCAATCTTGAACGTTTGATGAAGGGGATGTGCCGGCTGAAGGAGGATCAATCATTAACGGCTCTGATTTATTGCGGTTGTGTTTTGCTGTTTTTGAGAGGATTTCTTCACTGAACCCCACCACTGATCTATGCCTGTTTTTTCCACCAAAGAAAATCTATTGTAAAATATTGAGTTCATGAAAACAAATACATGTAACTACCATTGAAAAGTTCTATATTTTCTTAAATTTCGTATTATATATTGATCATAATTGTACAATTCCATTGCAGTGATCAGAGCAAAATACAATGTTTTTGTTATTTAAAAAAAAAGAGCTTTAGTTACCTTCTAGCAGACCTAGAGAGGGGATCTCTGCCTTCAGTAGGAGAATCAATTCTAGCATGAGATGTTGCGAACCTAGGGGAAGTGACTAGCCGCCCTGGGGGCGACTCACTTCCTCGACCAGGAGAGGAAGCTACCATTTGCTTAGCTTCCTGTAGCCACTCCTGAGTTAGCCTGCTGCTAACACTCCTTGTGCTTGAGTCGAAATCATCACCATCCTCTATCGAATTCGTGTTAATTCCCTTCAGATTATATGTTTTTTTATCAGGACTTGGTGTCCCGAAAAACATGTCATTCATAAAATCAGTTAAGTCAGGGACAGGACTAGCAGGCTTTCTGTTCTCTGCAATTATCCTCTGTAAGTTCTTTGAGGATCCTCTGCTCTCGTTCGACAGGTTCCTGTTGAATCTCCTCTCCATTGTGCGATTCAAATGTGTGGAAGCACAATCTCGAAGAATACGAATGGAAATGCAGGAAATTCTTAGATGAAGATAGAAACGACATTGCTAAAATAAATGAATAGGAAATATTGTAACATTTGGCCGGCACAAAGATTGTCTTTTCTTTGTGTAGTCTTGTGAAAATTAAAAAAAAGAACAGGCTACGTAAATTGGTAAATCATGCAATAAGTGAAATATATGTGCTAATGATCAGAGCTTAACAGGAAAACATGATGCACAAAGCATTCTGCATTAATTAGGGTCAAGGAAGGATCACACTCGAATAGTGTGATGTAGACAGTCTATCCTAATGCAAACATTAGTAATTGTTTTCACGAGCTTTAAAGATCACACGAAAATTAACTTTGTAGTTGCTCGAAAGCTCATGATAAGCTTAACATATATGCACTCAATAGATTATTGATGGACATACTTTGGCATAATTAGTAGAAGTATAGATATAAGGGCAGAATTTGGTTGAAGCGATATGATAACAAGCTTTGGACTTAATTAGGCAAGAAGACAAAAGCTGTACGAGTAAATCAAGCATGGGCCTCTCGACCAGCATTTTGATTGAGCTGGTCATGGGCTAAGCCTGGGACACAAGATTCACAAAAAAGCCCAATTTACTCGCATTTTGTTGTAAAATTTTTATGGGTATTTAATTTATACATACTTTTTAAAAAACAATTTGTGTTTACTTCGGAACAACTTCACATCTGCTGTGTTGAAGTTTAGATTAAAAAAAAATCACTGAAGTTTAGATAAAATAGTTGAACTTTAGGTCAAAAAAACCATATATTTTTGAATTTCAATTGTATAAAACTTCAGACACAACATGTTTGATTGTTCCAAGGTGAGTAGACTTATAATTTAAGGCGTGAACAAGAGACTGTAGCTTTTGCATATTATCTCATCTTTCTTTCCCTTTTTGTTTTTGCCCTTCGCACTAATGTTAGATAAATCCTGTATATAAATTATATTTCTAGTCAAAGAGTTATCCTACTCCATTTTTTTTTGAAATGTAAGCACAGATTCCGCGGTTAATCTGGATTTCTTAATTATTTCTTTAAGCAGAAAAAAAAGAGAACAAAATCAAATTTGAAAGAAATATACTTTCCTTTGTCCAACAATAGTTATTCACTATATATTTTTGGATTGTCCAACAATACTTAACCATATGAAATAAATTGATAAATTAATTTTCTATTTCTAGTTTCTTACGAAGCTTGCAAAGTTAACCGTAGATAATACCACTTTGAAAAATTGTGTATTTAATTCGTGTAGTAAAAATATAATTAAATGAAAGTCAACGAGAAAGAGATAAGCTACCGTACGTGTAATTGAAAAAGTTGTGATCCGTACATACATGAACCTGCTCCCTCTTATTTTTGTCATCTTCTCTGATCTGCATATCATATTCCTTCAAATAATATAGTAAACTGTTTATTTAATTTTCAGATCGTTGAACATAAGTTCCTAACACAAGAAAATAATTATCAGTATCTTAATTAGTTTTGACCGATCAATAAAGTTGAGTAACTTGGTGAAACTTCTTCCCTAGATAGATAGCTTATCATAAGGAATAGAGCACTAAATTATGCCTTTGAAATACAGTCTTCTATCCCTTCCAAATGAAGGTATTGATTTTGAACAAGATTAATTGTGTAATAGAACGTTATAATAATATGAACGTGTATTCAATTTTTGGGGACAAAGTTCGGAATGAAATTTATACATTTTCCCTAAAATTTAATGATAACAATTAAAGAATGGAGCTTTTAATTTCTCCCATCTTGAGAAAATTTGAAATGTATTTGGGAGAGTTAGATGGTGTTTCAACTTTTTGAGATCTTTTTTATTTTTTATTTATTAAAATAAATATAATTGATAGAAATTGCTAGGAATTTAGATTGACGATGTAATACTTGAGAACTCATTTTATTAACAAATATATGATATGAATGATTTAAATTGATGAATTTTTTTCAATCGTCTTGATCGAAACTTATATACACTTTTTTCCCATATAGTTATGGCATGACTACTAGATTCCATGTATTTCTTCATCCGGAGACAATATTGAATGTGCAGCTCATAACTTCATATGTGGAAAGAAAATTTTACTTGTGACAATCGATTTTGAGATCCAACAATTATTAGAAATGTTTGTACCTAATTATTACATAACATAGTAATATTTTATTAATTATAGCAAATTGATTTATTTATTTAGAAAAGGAGGGGATCCCTTAACAATTAACTTAAATAATTGTTTACCCAACTGATCAAGTTAAAAACAGTACATCAGGTGACAAAAAAATGTAAACAGTAAATTTGTCTGATTGTTTGAATGAAAATTTCTAATTTTAATCGCTTAATATAATGTACAAAAAGTCTTATCAACGTAAACTACTTTTAAGTTTTAGCAAATGTACTTAGCATTCTAGCTTAGATATCAATATATATATCAAGATAATTAAATCTATCCAGGGGTAATAAACACGTTATTTTAAATATAAGTAAATATCTTAAGCTGATCGAATAAGACTACGATAAAAATATTAGGCGTATAATTGTATAATCTACGTTTAAATATTACTTTATAAATATATATATATGATGAGGTCATGAGGCCAACTAGTAAATGCTGCCTTAAATAATGTAAACTTGATTAATTATAATGTACATACGATTAGCGATTTCTCATAACAAAATACATACCTACCCCACCTTCTGCATCAGCTCATAGATCAACCTTAATCACTTGATCATTTTCTTGTTTTAGAGTCTTTCCAAATCATTAGGGGACAAAGCTCTTAACCAAAATAATTATTAATAATAACGTTAAATATTCATATCGAATGTGTCGAAAGATCGCAGTGGATATTACTTGCAACAAATTATAAATTCCAAAAAATATAAAAATATATACATCTAAACTAAGGTCAACCCTCTAATTAAGCTCTTGTACAAACAAGTAGTTCCCAATTCCCATAATATAATTACAAATTTATTAGTCTGTAAAACGTCATAAGCTTACCCTTTGAATATTGCTTAAGGCCAATTCAAACATCAATTAGCTATTTTAATTATTAATTATATAAAAGTTAATTAGTATTAGAAAATGACGTCACTGTCTTATTGTAATTGTTTGCACCCCTTATGTAGGTTAGAGAGGTAGCTGCCAGTTGGGCTTATGTTTGACTTATTCATTTTTTAACCTTTCTTTAAGAAATGGCCTCCTTTTGTGGCAAATATCAACAAGTCTATATAAAGCCCTTCATCAAAGGGGATATTACATTCCAATTTTCATTCTCTAATTAGTATATATATACTACCAAGAAGTTAATCAAAGAAGCAAAATGGCAATTAGTACTCGTGCTATTTTCGTGGCTACAATTGTCATATGTTCATTTTTGGCTGTTTGTGAAGGTGATATATTGTTCTCTACCCTCAAGAAATCTATTGAAGTGAAGGCTGACCACAAAGCAGGAGGTATGTGCTGTGCTAACTATCCTTTTTGAGAAATATTTTGTTTGTTTTTTTTACTCATCTCTCTCTATCACACTCCATTTGTCGCTTCTCTCTCCAACTTAAAAATTATAGATTCGAATTATCGAAGAAGGTTAAAAAGAGATATTTTGAATGGATGATTGACTTTTGAAATGAAAATATGCGTTAATTAACTATGATCAAGTGATAGATGGTGTAAATACTGACTAAGATTTAATTACCATTAAAGTCTTTGTATATGTGTTTACTAAAATTTATTTTTAGAAGAAGGAAAATATCAAGTGAAATTGCTAGTGATCGGGTTTGAGATTATTTCTCATTAGTTGCCTTGTACACTAGATATCGTTTTCTCTTCATTTTCTTTCCTAGTATAAAATGACTTGATAGAGCTAATTTTGATCAAGAAATTCGATAGTACGTACTAGGTTATATCTTTTTATATTATCGATCAATTGATTGATTAGTATCACTATATAAAATTAAATAAATATTTTCAGTATTGATGGCCGGGGTGGACGCGCTCACGCTCAAGTGGTCCTTGAACACTACACTCCCAGCAGGGTCAGATTCAGGCTACAAGTCAGTAAAATTGGAGCTGTGTTACGCTCCTATAAGCCAAAAAGACCGTGCGTGGAGGAAAACAGAAGACCACCTTAAAAAGGACAAAACTTGTCAATTCAAAATTGCAACGGTGCCATACAAATCGTCAAACAACAATTACAATTGGACAATCAAGAGGGATATCCCAACAGCTACTTACTTTGTTAGAGCTTATGTTTTGAATGGTAATGGTGAAGAAATTGGGTATGGACAAAACACTGATGACAAAAAAGTAGACAACCTTTTCAGCATTCAAGCAATTAGCGGACGACATGCTACTTTGGATATTTGTTCTGTTGTCTTCTCTGCTTTCTCTGTTGTCTCTCTCTTTGCATTTTTCTACATGGAAAAGAGAAAGGCCAGGGCAGGTAAGTGATGACAATGACGATGACGATGATGGATCTACATTTGTGTGATTATGCGTAAGGAAATTAAATAATCTCCTTTTTATTTTCGATGTATCGTAGACTTTTATATATATTTATATATATGTATAAGATAATGTATTAATTAAGTTTAATACTGAGTTTGATGACTCATCATGTGTCATGCGTGACATTGTATTAATTGCCTTCTTGTTTTAAATGTACTTTTATTTGATGATGGAAGTTTGTTTTATCAGTTTTTTACATTGTTTAATTACCTTCATGTTTGATTTATACTTTTCATATCAACTGAACTTTTAGAGTTCTTTTTTTGTTCAAAATTCAAACAAATATTTGAGATTTTTTTTATATTTATCCTTTAATATTTTTAAGAGAAAAATCACACTACACAATGAAAATAGTTAAAAATATAATTTTACTTGTGCAATTAAATATTTTTGTTAATAGTGTGTTAATATGTCTGTTAATATGGAAAGGAGAAAGTAATGATCACCAAGTTATTTCATCACTTTTTGACTTTTTGGCCAAGTTGCATTATATTGTAGGCCATTGATTTTCTGATGGTTCGACTATTTATTTTATTTTTCAAACTTTTTATAATCTTTTCAACTTTACCAATCGAAATGACACATGATGAAAGTAGTCGGAAAAGCATGTGAATATTTATTTTTAAAAAATACACATTAGAGAAAATATCTTATTATTTAAACGTAAATATTTATTAATTATTATTTTATTTAATAAGATGAAAAACTAATGACGGAAGGAGGGTTTATTAAGCTAGCGTTTGATCATAAATTTTTAAATATTAATTTTATTTGAGTGAAAATTTGGGCGGAATTTCATCATGTGCTTGACCATAGGATTTGAGAAATATATTTCACCTTTTTAGAAAAATATAATTTATGCCCATAAGTTTTAAAAACTATCCAAACTAACTATAAGTTTGTATTACAAGTCAATTGGATGTTCGTTACAACATAATAAATAGTGTCCATGACACTAGAACAATGTGG